AATGTCATTGTCCGAACATTCTGAACGGCTGCAGGGATTTAGTCGCTGCTTTGTGATATTATTGTCTTGGTTTTGTCTGTGTTTGTTTGTGACTGTATCAGGTTTATTGTACTCGTCATTCAATTATAGTTATCTATCAAAACAAATAATATTTTTCTCATAAATTGAGTCTCGCTTCAGGTGTACGGCAGACCGCTTGCCTTTTGAGGGTGGATGTAATAAAGTAGGGATGTTCACTTTATTGAAGGAGAAAGAAAGTAAGCTTACATGTGCTGCCTGATTTATGGGACACACAAAGACAAAAGCATCCTGCCAACCAAAGCTGCATTTATTTAATGTTAAATATTATTAAAACATAAAATAACTGTTTTCTATTTTAATAGATTTTAAAATGTAATTTATTCCTGTTATGGCAAAGCTGAATTTTCAGCAGCCATTACTCCAGTCATCAGTGTCACATGATCCTTCAGAAATCATAATATGCTAATTTGATGTTCAAGAAACATTTCTTATTATTATCAGTGTTGAAAACAGATAATATTTTTGTGGAATCCATAATATGTTTTTCTAGGAATTTTTGATGAAGAGAACATTCAAAAGAGCAGCATTTATTTGAAATAGAAATCTTTTGTAACATTATAACTGTCTTTATTGTCACTTTTAATAAATTTAATGCATCCTTCCTGAGTGACTCCAAATTCTTGCACGTTGGTTTGATATGAGAGAGATGCATACACATGCTGTCATGTCTTCCCGTCGTCCATCTCTCTCTCTCTTTCTCTCTCTCCCTCACTCACTTTTTAACGTGTTTACCAAGGCAAGGATGCTCTACTAGTGTGACGAATCAGAGTTAAGCCCCTTCAGAAATCCATCACCATAAGCTTTTAATGATTTACCTCATCCAATTTTTTCCTAGCACACTTTCGGTAGATTAATGTCACAAGTCATTCACTGCAGTGAAGCATGGTGACTATAAAGGTCAGTCGGATTTCTCTGTCCCCTTCTGCAACTTCCTGGCTGCCCAGCTGATTTATTTGGTATAATTCCAAAATTAATGAGAAGGTATCAGGTTTCCAAGACCCATGAGAAAACAGCACAAAAATATGACACATCTGGAAACCTCATCCTTCCTACATCGGTGTAGCTCACAAGCTGAAAACTCAGTCATCATAAAAGGAAGATAATGTCAGACAGGACCCCGGGTGGTAAACCCATGGCTGGGGAATTATGACCAGCGGTGAAATGGATAAAGTCGAGTTTACTGGCGTTCCATTTGTCTTGGTAAGACATGCCGATTATTATCTTGCATGCTAGTTTGAGCTGAATTTGTTCAAGGTGACCTATTCCTTGTAGGGCAAAGAATATTGAGCCTAAACTTAATTTATGTAATATGCCCACTCCGGTGGGACTGCTGACCCACAAGCTGGGAGGAGGAAAACTGATTTCGCATGATAGACACTTTTCTCTCCTCGCCTTGACGTACACATAAAAGAAAAGGCTGGAAGGGGAAAATACAGAAAATAATCAACAGTCACCTTGAAGCTATGAAGTGTTAAACACAGAGGTGGGTGTTGGTGGGGGACCAGGTGTGTAATTGTTCGGATTCCATCAGGATACGGAAAGAGATTAACCCCTCAGGTGCAGGGAAAATTAGAAAACGGGGAATAATAAACTAGGATCTTGACTGCGATATGTGATGGATGAAAGTGTGAGGGTATTTAGAGGATCGGCCTGCAGAGCTCTCCAGAAAGCAATTACCCATAAAAAAAAAAGAGGTCCATTTGAGCTAATGTGTTTTTAAAAACGAACATGATGGTCTGACTCTGCAGATTAGTTAGACACCACAGCAAGTTGGCAGAAACCCTCAATTAGTTGCACTCAGTGAAATGAGTGTGATTCATTATATGATAAACCCATGACCTTGCCGCTGCTAGCACAATGCTCTACCAGTTGACCTAAAGGTTGTAGGGGAAACTGGGGCAAGTTGTCACATTGGGAAGGCCTTTTTTCAGTAATTATGAGTTGTTTCAAGTCAAATGTCCAATTATGCAATTGCATGTCTTTTTATATTGTTAAGGGGGCATGTTTTCAGTGTTTAAATGTGTGTGTGTGTGTATGTATATATATATATATATATATAAACCCTGACAACATGCCCCCATAGCAATATAAAAAGACATACAATTAATAAAATTTAATTTATTCCTGTGTTAGCAAAGCTGTATTTTCAGCAGCAATTATTCCAGTCTTCAGTGTCATGCGATCCTTCAGAAATCATGTTGATTTGTTTCTCAAAGAGTAGTAATAAAAGTAGTAGAAGTATTAATTTCTTTAAAAGTATTTGAAAAGTGTTATGAGTATAAACCTGTTCTGAGGTTTATACAGTTTTCAATGTCATAAAAATGGGACAACTAGCCCCAGTCTATCCTATAACTGGCAAATGTAAGCATGTAAAATCAGAATATTGCTTCTGGGTGACTAATAAATGTTCATAAGGTGAATGTGTTGTTACAAGATTCATATAACGTACAGAACATGTTTTGTGTCTTCCATGAAATCTGTAGTAGCTGTGGTTATTGTGTTGAGGTCATCCACGGTTGGCAATAAATCAGCAGCTGCTATTGACAATTAGCCTTATCTACAAGACATGATTCCTCTTGTTTGGATTCTAAACATGATAAAGTCTAGAACAATGTTGTATAACATCATTGTGTCAGCAGTATTGATGGCAATACAGTTCTAAAAACAAACACAGAACTTGAATGACAGGATTTAACAAGATTCTGCTAAATTTGGCTGTTGGCAGAGTGTGTTAGAGAAGAGGAGAGACTTGGGTTTTCTTTCTCTGTCTGCTTTAATGAGAAAAGGGAGGTCTGAGAAGGGTCAGTGACAGGACACTCTCTACAGCCTATTAAACGTGATTATAAAAACTGATGGCAATTAGAGGGGTGAGATGGGAGGCCTTCGGCCTGGTCCAACACAGAGCTCAGGGCTTTCACACACAGATCTGTCCTTGCCGAGGTTTATATTAAACTTGTTATCTAGAGATGGAATCTTAATTTGAATGTGATATTCATCACTTCTGTCTGTATCTGGGTTTATGTTGGCTGCTCTATTTCAAAATGTGAAAAGCAGTAATAAACAATGAATTGGTGTTCAAACTCGGACTGGTAGTATACAGGTGCATCTCAATAGATTAGAATGTCATGGAAAAGTTCATTTATTTCAGTAATTCAACTCAAATTGTGAAACTCGTGTATTAAATATATTCAATGCACACAGACTGAAGTAGTTTAAGTCTTTGGTTCTTTTGAGTTTCACAATTTGAGTTGAATTACTGAAATAAATGAACTTTTCCACAACATTCTAATTCATTGAGATGCACCTGTAAGGGTCATTCTCAAAAACAAAAAAAAGTTTTGAATTTCCAACTTACACAATGTTGAAGTTTTGGATTTGGCTCATTTCTTTTCTTTTTTTAATTAGATTCTATTCATTTTCTTATTATATTGTTTTAAATTGTTCTTTTATTAATTAACATTTGACATTATTAATCATACATTATAATAAATTATAATGATTATTTATTCAAATCTTTCACATGAACATTAAATAACAGCACCAGAAACATTTGAAAACAAACAAACATATAAACCTTTTTCACATGGTGAAAAAAAACTCTGATATTGAAAGTACTTTGAAAATACCCACATCTTTTTGTGTTTTCGTAATATTTTAATATTTCATAATTTCACAATTAGGTTTATATATATGATTAATTACTTCTTTTGATTGACATTTTTCACCCTTGTTAGACCTTACACTAATGCTAAACCACAGAAAACTAAAAGATTAAAAAATGTATACAAACAAATAAACAAATTTCAAATAAAATATATTTATTAAACAAATACATTTCAAATTCAAATACAAAAATTAATTTTAAAATTTTAAAAATGTGCAAAACAATATAAAGAAATCATTTCATTACTGTAAGGTTATGTAAAAAGCCTTTTATGTGGTGTTTCTTAGTCTCAGCCTCAGACGTCACGCCCATGGACCATTGGCTAAACGTCTGATGCATATGCCCCACACGGCACACAAAAGTGGAAACACTTCAGGAGTTTCGAAGTCGTCATTGGATTGGTTGAATTATACAGGATTTCCGGGAGACGTGTGTGTCGCGTTCTTTAACGTTCCGCCTGGAGACAAAGATGCCATGCCGCCAAACCCCCTCACGAAAGAAGAAAGCCGTTGTGTTTACAACTGTGACGATGAGCGCTTATCAGGATCAACTAAACGCTGGAGTTTCAAAAGTATGTGAAAAAAATAAAGCGGCATAGAATCTTTAAAATACGTCAGAGAGTTTTACACACCGACCTGTTATTGTGGCGACATTTCCACACCCCGAAACGTGACGATGAACGAAACAAACTGTGATTGGTTGTTTGACGTGTCGGTCAAATGGCCTCATGGGCAGGCCTTGGCCAATGAAAGCTGCCATGGATTCCAGACCTTCAGCCGTCAGTCTGAAGGTCTGGCTACGCGAGATTAGGTGTTTCTTGACTATATGAAATACAGTATTTTTCATGACAGAAAAGTCAAGGGACGTGTTTGTCACCTTATTTAGAACATTTTGTTCAGCTTATAATGTGTATTTAATATCACCTGGACTATACTGTTGCTACAGCTACATGCACAGAGACGTGTAGATAAATATGTTGCAGCAAATATTTTATGACTATCTCTTGGGTCCATCACCGAAGGACATATTTTGTAGGCCTTGCCAGTCTATCTATATGTGTCAATGTCCAGGCCTTATCAAACGAATGTCCTGGCTCTGGATCTGATGGGCGCAGACATGGCAGGTTTATTCCATCGCTGTGCTTTCCATTTGGAGCAGATCCATTCTGCTTATTCAGGCCATCAGTGCACATGGAAGGTATCTGATTACATCTGCTGTCTCGGACTGGTGTATCTGGCGTCGATGGATGCACCACATTACTGCAGACAGACTGATACATCACCACCTGTAGATACATGAGACAGTCTGCAAGTTTGTCATGCGTATGCAAACGATATTTGTATACATTACGCAATAAAACAGGAAAGCTGGTCAATTTGTATTTGTATATTTCAAGTAAGTGTCAGGTGTTCGGTTAACTGGCTAACCAATAGCCATGGGATTGGTCTCTGGGCTATTTCAAGATGGAGAAATTCTTAGTCAGTCCTTATTTGCAGAAATCACCTTGAAATCTCACCAGGACACACTGCGGGCTGTCACTAGCTCGTCAAAAATTATTCTGCTGCCTTTGTCATCTTACAAACCTTTTCATCAGCCTCCCAGGCTGACTGCTGAAGTGCTGCCTGTCCCTATCAGATCACCGGTGCACGGGCTGATAAAAGCGTTTTCAGGGAGCTGGTGGGAACCTGTGAGAGGAACCTCATCAGTTTGTTGTCCTGGATTGGCTTTTGGCTATAAACAAGACATTCAATATTCTCCACAATATGTTCCAGGTATAGGCTTAGAAGCTGTGGATTTGCTTTTAAATGGATCCTCTGTTTGCATGGGAATTCTCATGTTCATTGTACAAAATAAAGCTCTTTTACTCCAAATGACATTTTCAGGCATCTGCAGTTCAAAATTATGTTTCTTTATAATACATCTCAATTTTGAGAGATTGTAAAGCAGCATGCACCTTTCATAGATAGGTAATCTTAAAACCCTGACAGAAAAATGTTGCGTTGCTTATTATTCTACAACCTGATTAAACGTGTGATTATAAATTTTTTTTTCATTGCTCATCTACAATACATCTCTAAAACATTCTTGGTCACATGATAGGAAAATGCAAATAGCTTTGAGACATATATTATTTAGAAAGCATATGTGAATCAAATGTTTGTCCCATGTACACAATCCACAGAAGCATGATAGACTGAATCAAAAAATACTAAAATGTATAATTAGATACAATATAATTAGAAAAGGTGTAATTAATAATAAAAAATAAAAATTTTTTTTTTTATATATATACACGTACGCACACACACACACGCGCACACACACAATTTTTAATTAATTACACCTTTTTTAATTATACTTTTAAATTAAATTATACTTTTTTTTTTTTTAATTACCAAATATTATTGTGTGCTATGCATTTTGCATCTGTTGTTGGTACACTATCAAGTACACAATTCTTTCCAGGAGCATTTTCCAGCAAAATGTTGGAATGAATCAGGTTTTCAAATATAATCATAACTTACGCTGAAAAATATTTTACCCAATATTTTTGTGTGCTATGCATTTTTGTGTATGTGTTAATAGTAGGGATGTAACAATTCACACAACTCACAATTCGATTCGATTCACGATTTTGATTTCACGATTCGATTCATATTTGTTTTAACAAAATGAGATTTAAGACAAATTATAAATTAAATGTGTCCTTTTATTATTACTTAGACAAAATGCTCCACGTTTCTTTGTGAAATTTAAATATAACACTATAACAATCAGTGCCTCGCTAGGAGCTTACAAATTATCATAATTGTATTGACCTGTGGCCAAGGGAAATACCAATATTCTACTTGTTAAAATATACTGAGGTCAACGGCTCGCTGGACGAGCGTTGATTTAAAGTGTACACTATCAAATTGGAATTCAGTTTTAATCAGGTGGACCTCGAATTTTCAGTTTCGAGTCCTTTCAAACCCTGAATGAATTAATAATAATTAATTCCCTAAAATTAAGTAATGAGACATTACACTAATATCACGTAATTTACGTCTCTATGATGATTGGTTGATATCAGAAGGGAGGCTAGCCTCCCTTGCGAGGGTTCTTTTCTCAACACTCTTCCTTC